TAAAACCCAACAATCCCCCACATGAATGGGGAATGACTATTGTTAAAACATATGCATGAAAAACTTATGTGTCTCGTAAGTAATGATTTATTATATCTGGATAAGTAGGTTTCCCTTGAACTTTCCGTAGTGAACATATATCAGATATACTCAGTCAATCGATAGATTTGATATCTTTGAATCGTCGAGATTTGGTGTATACCTAGACAACATAAGTCACACAATCAAACCTTGAATTGTACGTTTTTGGTTCTCATTATTTTGTTCGTTTCATCCATGAACACGTCTTGGTTAATAAGTGCTTAGAGAATTGGCCTTACCGAATTCTCCTTGAAGCGACTTACACTTAACATTTACATAGGTGGTTTCTAAATGTGTTATCCCGTAGATACACTATTTGATATACCCTGTATCAAACTTAGAAACTATTAAAGAGTCCTAATGCCTTTATCCTGGTTACTGAACATTATCTCATCATGATAATGGACCATAAAATAATTTGTGACAATGTTGAGCCGTCATATATGACTTTATTTGATCTCCTTGAACCTAGATCTTCGGATCTTCAGTCTTCTAGGTACACGATGACTTGTCCTCGGCCATAGTCTCATTCTCGTCGATGATCTCTCAACTCCCTATCTAGTTAGGCCTTTTGTAAGTGGATCCGACATATTATCCTTTGACTTTACATAGTCAATCGTGTTAATTCCACTAGAGAGTAGTTGTCTAACAGATTTGTGTCTCTGTCATATGTGACAAGACTTGCCATTAAACATAACGCTTTCAGTCCTTCCTATTGCAGCTTGACTATTGCAATGTATGCATATAGGGGCCATTGGTTTGGCCCAAAATGGAATATCTTATAAGAAATTTCGAAGTAATTCAGCTGCTTCACCAGCCTTGTCTAAGGCGATGAATTTAGACTTCATTGTAGAGAGAGCTATACATGTTTGTTTGGATGATTTTCAAGATATTACTCCTCCACCCACAGTGAAAACATATCCACTCATGGATTTAGTTTAAGATCCAGTAATCCCATTTGCATCACTATATCCAACAACGGTTGGATATTTGTTGTAATTCAAAGCATAGTTTTGAGTGTAATCTAAGTACCCCAAAACCCTCTTCATTGTCATCCAATGATTTTGAGTGGGATTACTTGTGTATTGACTCATTTTACTTATAGCACATGCTATGTATGGTCGTGTACAGTTCATGACGTACACCAAACTTCCCAATACTCTGGCATAATCCAATTGAGACTGACTTTCACCTTTATTCTTAGCAAGATCAAGGTCCACATCAATTGGGGTCTTTGCCCTTTTGAAATTCAAGTACTTGAAATTTTCAAGTACCTTTCGAATATAATGAGGTTGAGACAATGCTAGACCGCGAGGAGTTTTATGAATCTTAATTCCTAATATCAAATCGGCAACTCCTAGATCTTTCATATCAAACTTACTAGGGAGAATATTGTCACGGACTTAGACTTTCACTAGAGCTCTGTGCGGCACTCGATAACTTACTCACGATCCTTTCACAATCTTGTAAGCTTAAGTAAGCCCTTCGAAACTAAGATCACTAAGAGAATGTAAAGAAAGACTAAGAGAGCTCTGAAAGAAGGCTTTGTATTTCTTTACACTTGGTTGGATGATTTACAAATGAGAGCCCCTCTATTTATACTACAATCCAAGGGGCCTAAGTATAAATAATATTTACTTTATAAGTCCCTACATATTTACATTTTAGTCCATATTCTAGAATTGTCTTCAACTCTAGAGAATTTTAAAGCCTTCCTGGAAAATATCTAGTCTCTCTTCTAGAATTCTCTACTAGTCTAGAGAATTCTAAGGCTTTCTAAGATATTTTCTAAGACATTCTAGAATCTTCTAAGGAAAGGTCTAGGGAATTCAAGAGTCTTCCACTAACCTCTCCATAACTCTAGATTCTTCCTCCTTATTTTATGCCAAATTTGAATGGCAAAGTGGTGGGTCATGACACTCTCCCCCACCTATTGATGTGACAACCGCGTCGCATTGCTGCTGCATGGACAATTGAGTCTTGTCTTTTCGTATGCGCGACCAGTAGTCCATTGACTCGATCAATGCCCTCGTGCAACTCCCTCAACTGCTTCTTTATCTCTTCTAACTTGGTCTTATGATCTACCTCTTTCCTAGGAGGCAAGCGCCTTGGTGGCACCTCTGGCATCACGACATTGTTCTTTTCTAGAAACTTCTCCATGTATGGTGGCAAGGACTCTTTAGCACCATTGTCTTCTTTCTAACTTGGAATGGTGGCTATAAACACCGAATCCTTCTTCTTAAGGCTTCTCATGAGTTGTATGGATGTTATTCGGATTTGTCCTTCCGTCTTTGGTACCCTAACCAGGGGCACCCATTCATTATCCTTCTTTCTCCATGACCAGAAGTCGTTGGAGGTAAGGATCGATTACCACGTGACACTCTTGGAAGAACTCTTGCCCTAGAATGATATCAAAGAGGTCCAACGGAGCGATAGTGAAGTTGGTTTTACCTTGCCACTTTCCTAGTGTGATACTTACTACATGTGCGACTCCGCACATGGGAGTCAGTGGTGCTTTGATCGTCCTAAGATGGGCATTACTTGGACCGTAACTCAGCCCCAACCTTGTTGCTGTCATCTTGGTCACGATGTTGGCCTCAGCACCCGTGTCGACCATAACACGAGTAGGTCTTCCATTAATCGTGATGTTGACATACTGCGCATCGTATTCTCTTGACTTTCCTGGATGCTTCGTGATGGCTCCACATAGTCCTATCAAGCCCAACTGCGTCATCTCTACACCTTGTCCTTGCTCTTGTGCATCCTTCTCCTTCCGCTCTTGCAGGATAGCACCAAGGCTCTTCAGTTCATGGCACCTTGCGTAGCCATGCGGCCCACTGCATATGTAGCAACCATTACTTTTGGCAGTTTCTGCCTTCCTCTCCATGTTGCTAGGACGTCCAGACTTCTTGCCATTGAACTTCTTAGTTTACCTTATCTTTAGAATATTTTTTCTCTATCTCAATTTCAAGTATAAGAATAATTGACAGTTTTTTAAAAAGTTCCTTTGAATTAGTATATAAAAAGAGTTACGTAAAAATAAAATGAGCAATGGAGATAAAAAGAATAAAATACAAAAAATGAAAATAATATGACTAATAAATTCGAACAAATGAATATTGAAAAGGAGAAATAACATTAAAAAAAATGAAAAAATAATAATAAAGCTCCAGCCCAAAAATGTTGAGTCCATCTCAGCCTTGCTATTTGATTTTCCAAATGAAGAAAACAAAAAAAATTCAAGGTAAGTGTTGTTACGTAGAATCAATCCCAAGACGTCCCGGCGAATTCTTGAATTCCTCCTTTACCACTAAGCTAGCCACTTTACATGCGTTGAGGGGGTTCATTTTAACATATATACATGAAAATAGAATTTGACCTTATATATACAGTGTAATATCCAACGAATGGGGTTCGGATGAACCCCTAACCTCCATGTAGATCCGCCCCTGAGTTCAAGGGTATTTTAGGTCCTTCTCCATTTTATATAACATGGGTCAAAATGGAAAAAAAAACAGGAAAGAAAAAAAATTAACAAGAAGTCAAAAAATGAATTTCAACTCATTAATTATTAATCTAATTTATGTCACTATTTCTCAATAAAAATAACTTAAGCAGCCATTACCTATTTGTCTAGAGTCTAGAGTAAGAAACTTGCGGGGTGAATATGATGTGCTAGTACCACCTTTAAACGTTCCTTTTTTACACAGCTGGAATACATAATTAAAGTCAACTTTAACCAAAGATGCTACTTAACCAATTCAAAATTTTGCCAACTTTAAGCTATTTAACAATCTTATTTTATCCTGGTGTTCATTTATTTTGTTTATAAAAGAGCAGAGCTTTTACTTACAAATTGAAACAAATTCATAAACTAAACTAAAATCACATATAATTGAAGAATTTAAAGAGAGCTTACTGCTTCAATATTAAACCAAAACTTTCAGCGTAACACAAATAAATAATTCAACATAAACCAATTTAAATTGACTAACAAATCATAAACGGAAAAGAGTAAAAATTGTCGCAAAAAAAGAGTGATGTGAAATGAAAATGTCTTCAATAAATAGTTTGGTCTAAAATTGCTTCTGTAATCAATAGTTTGGTCCAAAAATACTATTGCCCCTAATAGTTTGACCTAAAAGTGTCCTATAGTTATTTAACGAGTAAAAAATGTTCCTTTTCGTGATAAATATTTTTTTATTTTTAAGCACATTTTATTCCTGATAAAAAATACTATTTAAATTTTTTTTATTCTTGTCTCTTTTCTTATTAAAATCACTTTAATTAATAAATAAAAAAAATACATTTTTATTTTCTTCTTAATCTCATTTTATCATTTAAAAATAGAATAACTACATGTACCTTTTTAATTGAAAGTCATATATATAAGATCATACTAACTCCATCATTAATTTTCATCTAGATAACGATAAAAAATCTAATAAAATAAGAAATATTTTATTTCTTAATATTTTTCGAATTGAACTAGGACAAGCATTTACTAACAAAAAGAACTGTCATTAGAAACATATTGTGTTAAAAAATGTAAAGGAATATATATATATATATATATATGGACATTTTTGACCTATTAAGTAACAATAGAGACATTTTTGGATCAAACTATGGACTATAAGGGTATTTTTAAACCAAACTATTCAGTAATGACATTTTTGTTCAATTTCACATAATTTAAGAATATTTTTTACCCGAATCTGAATGATAAGTAATTTCAACAAATATACTTGGATGCTTGCATTGGAATTGCTAACCAATTAGTCACACGAATGAAATAAGTTGTAAAATGAACCCCTTGAAAGTTTATTTTTATTATATTATTGTTGTCACTATAATATCCTAAAAAAGCCATGAGACACATGCATAGCCTTGTAATATTGGTACATAAATAGGTAAAGTTAATTGCGATATTTAGCTTTATAATCACTCCAAAGTTGATCAACTGTCTTTCCTAGTAAGTCAACAAAGAACTGATTACTATAACCATTTCTCATTTTTTTGTTAAGTTGTGCCACAAATCCATTTCTTAAACTGTTGCAATAACTAAGAAATTGAGCAGTCACATCATAGCCTTGGTCCCACCGATCACCCTGACCTGGTTTCACCCAGTGGCTTGGACCAAGACCAGCTTTGAGCCTCACATAATCAGCAATCCCTTCAATTAATCCTCCAGGAGCCTTACCATTTCCATTCCACTGCCAAATGTGAGAACTTTCGTGGTATAATACACTAGTGATCTCTCTCTTAACGTCCCCAGAGTAACCTTGGATATACCTGAAAACACAAACGTAACGTTCAAATTTTGAATAGTACACAAATTACTATTTTTTATCGATGATCGGATGCACTACAAAAAAATAATAATCAAACTAAGCAAAAAAAATATGTTATTTTATAATTATACTTTTAAATTAAAATGATTTTTTTTTTTTTTATGAAATTAGAGCTTAGGCGGCCAAGATTTAAAATAAAATAGGCAAATCATATATCATACAACAAAAAGGAGGATATGGGGAATCAAACTTGAGTGACCTACAAACAGAGGTGAATCCAAAATTTAAAGATTTTGGGTGCATCAATATTATATTTTCAACTACTTAAAATAAAAACAGTGAAAAAATAGCTTCAGCAATAGATTCAAATCCTGGTCTCATGGATGGTTCCTCTAGCTTATACCAATAGCACAAGAACACTCGTATGCTTTTCTTGATTGCACTGTTAATTATATTCTAGTTTCTGTCAATTTTTCAAGATATATATATATATATATATATATATATAAAAGTTAACGGGTACACGTGCACACCCACTTAGAGGGGTGAGTCTGCCTTTGGAAATTGGAGCCTACTACCTATCACATTATTTTAGTCTGTATGGTATACTACGCTTTCTCTATTATTTGTTATGTCTTGTTTTACCTCTATATATGTTACTTGAGTTGAAGGCTTTTCAAAAACATCTTTATCTCCACGAAGTAATTATTAAGGTAATATCTGTATATATACTGAAATAACTACATACGATATATTTATATTTCGCATAAAAATAAATAAATATTATGTAACTAATAATTTTTGTTATCCGCCTATCAGGTGAAACCCGGTTTCTTCCGGGTTTACCCGATGAAATGGGCATGGATTATGGTGATATAGTAAGGAGATACTATAACTCATCAGAGGAACCATTAATTGGTACAAAGAAGAAATCTTTTCCAACACAACCTGGTGATGAGCCAGTTTGGGTCCAAGAGGTAATTAATATTAATTTAAGTAATATATTTTTCTTTATGTGGTGTAGAACATGATTTTCTCACTCATTTTCTATAGAATCAGCTCACTGAGAAAACACATGGTGAAAAACACATTCTCATCGAAATAGTAAGAAATTTCCTAATTTTTCCGTACGAAAACATTACTTCCTCCGTTTAAAAAAGAATGATCTAGCTAGTTTGATTTGACATGGAGTTTAAAAAATAAAGAAGACTTTCTAATCTTATGGTTCTAGATTAAAGTTATGTCAAATGTACCAAAATATTCTTTAATCTTGTGGCTTTAAACATGTCACCTGATTGAAATTAAAATATTTCCAAAACAAGAAAAAGGTCAATTCTTTTTTTCACAGATTTTAAAAAAAAGTATATCTTCGTTTTTTTAAAACAGAAGGAGTACTAATTTTTCTTTTCTCACCATTTCAATCAAAACATTTGTAGGAACAACCACTTTACATTTTTCAGTAAAAACTCGGTGGAAAAATAATGACTTTTTAATAGTGGTTTTAAAAATGTATAATCGATAATTTCACCATAATTTAGATGTGTTTCTGCATTCACAATTATGTCTTCATATTCCTTCTTTGTTGGATTCTAACAGGTAAAGGTTACAAGTGCCATTCTTGTGAACACATATGATGTACTAGAACACACATTCTTGGAATATTTAGCCAAACAAACAAGACTTCCAATTTATGGAATTGGCCTTCTACCAGAAAAATTTTGGTCACTTACATCCACTAAATCCCTAATCCATGACAAAGACATTAGAACAATTAATAATTCAAGTCAAAAATCAAATTATTCAGAAGATGAAGTACTCAATTGGCTAAACACAAAATCATCAAATTCAGTAATTTACATCTCTTTTGGTAGTGAACTTTTACCAACTTTACAAGAACATGAAGAAATTTCAAAGGCACTAGTAGAGCTATCAAGTCAAAATTTCATATGGGTAATTTCCAAGAATCAAGATTATTATCCTAATGACTTGGAAAATAAAGTTGGAAATAGAGGTTTGGTTATACATGGATGGGCCCCACAATTGTTGATTTTAAGTCATCCGTCCACTGGCGGATGTTTGTTTCACTGTGGATGGAATTCGACTATGGAAGCGATTGGACAAGGGGTACCTTTATTGGCATGGCCAATTAGAGGTGATAATTTTTATAATGCAAAATCTATTGTGTGTCATCTCAAGATTGGTTATATGGTATCATCAATTAGAGAAAATATTGGGTTGAAAAAGGTTAAGAAGGATGAGATTATACAAGGGATTAAGAGATTAATGGAGGATAAACAAGTTCATGATAGAGTTGAAGAATTAAGTGACAAATTTAGAAATGCTAATTTTCCAGTTGGTTCAATTGCTAATTTGCATGATTTTAAGGATTTTATTATGCAAGCAAAGTGATGGTTGGAGATTGTTTACAATTTGTTTGGATGGTTGTTATCTATTGCATTGTATTATTGTTAGTTTGAATATAATGTTATGTAACAATAGAGTTGTAATGATCAATTTGATGTAATCATGTCATTTGCTTTCTTTTCCCCCATTTTGTCTGTGTACTTTTTAATAATTCTATTTTATCCTTTACTATACTTAATAGCTCTATTTCGCACTGTACTTTATTTGTAAGTTTATCGTTCAAATTGTTGATGAGTAGTATGATGTAACCACAGAAAACGACACAATCTAAGAAAATGGCAAACAAACATCATCTGCAGATGAGAAATTCCAAACAAAGGATACACAGAATAAGAACTTGGTGACTATAATATCATCAGCTTATTTGAAACTAGATTACATGATTTGCAATCTTTAAACTGGAATACAGAAAGTAAAGACAGGCAAAGTACATTTATTTTCGTTATACGGCAAAAACTGGCTGCAATTGTCTTGTAAACCATCTAAACACCATAAAGACATGCATAGGTACCAGGATGTTCTCCAGCAACTGAAGAGGTAACTTTGACATCCGGGGGGGGGGGGGGGGCATGAGATGCATCAAATATTGTCTCTTGGATATTCCTAAAGATCAAAATCTCCAAAATTTCATAAAATTCATGAGATATTCCTAAAGAGATCAAGACGATGTGGTCTCGTATGTTCATGAAATACATTACTAATAGCCCTCGAACCACGGAGAAATCCATAGAGAAGAATCAAGTTGTTCTATCAATAATATTCTTGTTTCTTCAGATTTTATTTATGATTGATTTACTTTCCACATATTCAAAATTTGTTGCAAACAAGATGATAATGAGACACTTCTCATTTCAAAATATAAATTTTAAAAAATCAAATAAAAAGACACATGAAAATTTATTTTCAAACTCTAATAACAATTTTTGAGTCACTCCAACATACTCCATAATCAAGACCATTCCAACGGAATTTTAGTGATGCATGTTGTGATAGGAGCATAGACAATTTTGAGAACCTATATCATCTGCTAGACAAGGAGCCAAAGTTATTCCACACCATTTTTCCCTCTCTTGCATTAAATCCTTGAAAAAATTGTCTATGATTTCTTTTGTTGTGCCTGGCATAACCACAACATGTGCCGTATCTCTTGTGCAAGATAGTTGCCAACGACGAATGAACTTATCGTCACAAGGTCGTTCAAACACCACGATATTGCTTAACTCATTGAGCATAGCACTAATTCCTGCTTTATGAAGCCGGTCTTTCAAATACCTAGCATTTTCATAGCACATTTTGGCATGTTGTTGCAATCCGACATGACCTTTCATGCTTAAACTGTACCATAAGAATATTGGTGCCAAACCATTTCGACTTCCAGAAATTGTATTATCTATTGAGGCAATATACTCAACTCTTTTTGAGATAGTAGCAATGTAAGTTTTCCTTGTTATTTGAACTCCACAAAGCATGGAACATCCCAAAAATTTGTGGCCTGAAACTGAAATACTGCCTATTGACTTCTTGAAGGTAATTATTTTCGCCTATTGATGAATACAAAGAGACACGTGTCATTTTCTATTTGTTCCCTTAAAAGAAAATAATGGACTAAAGTAATTAATATCCTTACATGGTTGATGAAGGGGACAATTAACCCATATAGTGCAGCATCACAATGGATGTAAAACCTATCATTGGAATAACCACAATTTTCAAGTATTTGTAGGATCATATCAACATCATCAATTGCTCCTTTGTAGGTAGTTCCTACAAATACATAAATTAACATAAATTTTTAAAAATAATAGTATTCCACATATGATCTAAATATATATATATATATATATATATATATATATATATATATGATCTTTTTTGAAGTTAACAGGTCGACTTACCCCCACTTACCAGAGCGGGTCCGCGTCTGCCTACAAACTTAATAATAAATATGGACATCATACAACTTTGTGCACATCGTTTCTACTGAGAATTTTTTATATGTAAGTTTGAGACATGCATTCATGAGGGTTTATTAATGTGTACCTTGCACTAACATGATTACATGAATCTCATTGTTGATGGCAAAAGCTACACCGCTCATGTCATCGATGAACAAGCTTACTTTTGGTACATTTTTGCGGTCAGCTGGAGAATTCTGCTGCTGGAAGGTATTCCATATGTAGGAAGTGGCAGCTGCCAGTGTTTGCTGACTATATTGAGCTCCGATATCTCAATTGAAACGGGCACCCCCAGGGGTGTTTGCCGCCGTGTTGGTCACAGAGTAATCCACAGCATCGATTTTCTGGGTGAATATTAACACGACGAATAAAGGACAAAGGAACAAAATCTTATGACTCATTGTTGATTTGCTCTGCTATTGATATGGTTTCTTATAAGAAACACCATCATATATATAGTTTTTCCATATACTTCAACACAAGCTGAAAAAAGGAAGATTAAGAGCTTGTTTGGATAAGTTGAAAAAAAAAGTTTCTAAGTCAAATAACATCGAATGATTTTTAACTCAAAAAAATAAAATCCAGGGGAGTTCTATTTTGGTTTTTAACTGTTTGAAAAAAAATATTTTTAACTTTGTCAAACATTTTCAAAAGCTAAAAGTGACTTAAAAATATGTTTGATCAGCTTTTAAGCCAATTCAGATAAAATTTAAATTAGAGTCATGTATCGAAAACATATTTTAACTATCCTTTTTTAAAAGTTTCATAACAAAACTATTCAGAGCGTGAATTTTATATCTAAACTATTACTTTGAAAACACATCTAAGTGGTGTGTGTAAAATACCACTTGGATAATGGGGTGATGTAGGATTTTTTTTAAATTAAAAAAAAAAATTGGAAAAAGGGGGATGAAGTAAAAAAAAATTTTTAAAAAAAATTTTTAAAAGAAAATTTACCTTTTTTTCTAAGAAAAATAATTTTTAAATTTTAACTAATACTAATAATTTATTTATTATTTTATCAAATGAAATATTTTGTCAGTACAGAGTGTAATGTAGCAATCTTTTAAAATAAAATAGAGTATAGTGCACACACCATCAATGAAGTGTAATGATAGAGAGAAGTGTTTTTCTCGTAGTTTAGTTATTAAACTCAAACTTTCAATAGTTTAGATATAAACTAAAAAAAAAGATAGTTTAAGTGTGTTATTGACACTTCACTCATTAAATTAAGTAGACTTTTCATCATGTTTCATTATAAAATTTGGAAAAATTAATACATTTAAACTGAAAATGGTATATTTAAAAATTGAAATTATATTTGATTATAAAAAAATTTAAATTATTTTTTATTTTTTTGTGAATAATTTAAATTGAAAAAAGTGATACAATCCTTTCGGTGTTTTCAAATTTTTGAAAGTTCTCAAATTTAACTTGGTATTGAATTTCTAAATTTTATAACTAAATGTATTTTTCAAAATTTAATTCAAAAAAGGGATTATTTCAGAGACCTCCCCTCTGGTTTGACTCAATAACATTCACCTCCTTTGTGATTTACGATATTATACTTACCTCCCTTATTTTGAGTGTTTGGTAACAATTCATTTCACTTATTAATTATTAATATAAAAAAGTATAATCTGACTAATTTGCCCTCTTCAAAATTCTATTTTTTTAAATTTGTTGATAATCGATTTATTTTCATCTTCCATCGAAACCATTTTGTTTAAATGAATTTATAATTTTATGCAATTCACGATAAAATCACTTATAATAGTGTCAATAAAAATATAATATTTTAAGATGACTTAATTACTGAACAGGAAAAGAAAATGATCAAAATTAGAACAAAATGTATGTTAATTTGTTTGCATTCCAGTCGATATGAAAATTGAGTTAGTCCAATTTTCAAGTTTCAACATTTGATAAGAAATTCTTCATTTTCAGTAAAATTAGACAAACAAATCGGTGACATCAACTCTAAAACATGTTTAGCAGAATGGATTAATGGAAGATGAAAAATATTCTTAATGAAAGAAGAAATTTTTTATTTAATAACAATTTTTTTTTGAAAAAAAACTTTTTTACAAAATAGGATATATTAAAAAGGGTAAATTAGTCATATCATTATATTTTTATATTAATAATTAATAAATCAAATGAATTGTTACTAAAAACTCAAATAAAGGGAGGCAAGTATAACATTACAAATTACAAGGAAGGTGAGTGTTACGAAGTCAAACCTGAGGGGAGATCTCTAAAATTATCCCAAAAAAAGTAAAAAACAATTCGTGGCAAAACTCCTACAAGCCGACAGAGTGAGAGATGAAAATTTTCAACGACTTCATTATTTGGTCATAAGTCGTTGGTCAAGTAATTAAATCCTCTAGGAGCCCCACAACTACCATTGCTACTGCCTAACTCTAGTAATTAATATGAATATTCTAATAAATATTCCTTCCATAGTATTTTTATATGCATATTAAGAAAGCATAAATAACATAATAGTTTTAGTAATTTACTCAAAAAAATTTCTTCAAACTCTAAAAAAAGAATTAGTTTCAAGGATAATATAGGAAAAATTTAACTAATGCTTTTTTTGATGGTAAGAGGCGAGCGAGAAAGGGAAGAGAGTGGAGAGAGACGAACTGTATATGTATATCTGTCAGATAAATTGTATATATGTAGCTGGTACACATATGTATTTGTATATCTGGTGAGTAAGATTGAGAGAGAGGGCCGAACAAGATTGGGAGAGGAAGGAGAGAGGCAGAGAGTGGAGAGAGACTAATTATATTTGTATATATGTCTATAATTGATTTATATGTATAATTTGTATTTATATATGTATAAAAAAGAGAGAGGCGAGAGAGAGGAAAAAAGGAGAGAGGCGACGAAAATATAGCTAAAATTAAGTTGTGAGCCGTAATTGATTCAAACTATAGCTATGTTAACTAATTTAACTAGTATATATTTTCTTATCCGCGTAATTTTCCCTTAATAGTAAGGGTAAAATAGACACAAAAGGGTAAATTATTTCTTTATTTTTCAAACTGGACACGTATTATTGGATAACTATTTTCTAGTATATTGGACAAATAAAAATGAATGAAAAGAGTAAAAATTAGCGGCTTTGAATTTTAATAATTAAATTCCTAAATTTTAATGTGTGAAAGTACTATTTCTATTCTAACTTATCCCGCACCTTTCTTGCAAATGCACTTATTCAACTAGTTATCATAGCTTTAATTCCATTTTACCTCTGAATTCGACAAGTATTTCCAAAAAATAATAATATTATATTCATCGAAAAGAAAAATAACAATTACTTTTTATTATAATCTTTGAGATTCATATTGCGAAAAAATAAATGAATAAAGGAGTCAACATGTCCACAACTGTAACGACCGGTTTTCGTCGTTATAGAAAAGACAACGGAAAAAATTTTTGGACCAAATTTTTTTCCGTAGTAACTTGAAATTTCTCAACCTAGTCTTGATTTGGACGAAATCGGAGTCATTAAGGTGTAGGGAAATCTGGTAACAATCGGGTGATTTAATTATGGTTTTGATTACATGAGTAGATAGATAAGTCGTTAAGGAAACTCGTACGACTTTACAGAATTGAATTCGGGCGAGTAGAACGCCCGAAATTGATCTTAGTGTGAACATGTAGTTTCTGAATGTCGTTGGTTGAAGGTGTGTTGTGAAATGGGGGTAATTGATTTATTAAAATAGCTCACTGTTTCGTGCAAGCTGCTTTGGTGGGGATTTCTGCCGCCAGGGCGGGGCCGCTGTAGCGGAGTAAGGACCGTTGTGGCGGGCCAGACGCGACTTAAAGTAGTAAATAAACCCCAAAAACATTTTATTCTGCAATTTTTCAATTTGAGAGCTAAGGAACGAACCCAGGTCTTTTCTTGTCAGTTTTCCACCCTTCTTGAGGCTAAAGGTAAGATTTTCACTCCCCGAATCCATTTTTCGATTCGTGAAACGTAATCTAATGGGCAATTATTGATGGGGAAGAGCTTTGATATAAGAATTATGGTGGGAAAAACCCTAATTTGGATATTGGGATCATGGGTATGATCTAGGATTGATAAATTGTTAGTAATTAGGGTAATTGATGATTGTTTATTGATTTTCGTGTTATTACGATTGTTTGTAGACCAAGAACAAGCGGAACGAATCCGGAAAGGGAAGGATCAAGTTTCTTAAGGGTTTCAAGCTTGTTTCGAGGTAGGTGATGGTTGTGATTCTATGATTGTGTGATGTATGTTTGTTCTTGCTTCATTATGATACAAGTATGTATGCGAATGTTGCATTATTGATCACATTAATTGTAAATGAGGATATATGAATTTTGAATGCCATGGATCATGACTTGTTTGTATGATTATGAGAAATATACTTGTGATTGCGATTGTGGCTTGTTGAATAGACCGGGTGTTGCGTTCCGACCCACTAACTTGGATCGGTTGCCACGTTCCGGCATAAACATTGGATCGGGTACCACGTTCCGGTATGCTAAAAGTGTTGGGTTTGGGTTCCATGAGATGACCAATAATTTGATATAATTGTGTATCTTGAGAAATGTGAAACTGTACCTTGTTCGTAAATGTTGATAGTATTGTATATGTTTAATATATGCATGTGATTATATTGTTGTAATGGGTTATGTATGCTGCACTTAGTGGGATAACCGCGTGATCCTACCAGTACACTGTGGTTGTGTACTAATACTGTATTTGCTCTTTCTTTGTTGAGTACAAGGCATCTTCAGACGGCTATTGACTGACCTCGTTTAGAAGATCAGTGATCGCCGATCGAATTCAAGGGTGAGCCAGTTCTTCCAGGCTGCCATGAGTTTTCC